CACGCATTGAGTCTGTCTTGTGGAGCGGACTGGTCCTCTTCTTCCCGGAGAAGGAGGCGGCTAGGAGGAAACCAAGAAGCCCCTGCGCTGGGGGAGGGCAGGGGAGGGCTACGCTGCCAGCAGGTGAGACAGAAGTACCAAGAAACTCGCAGGTAACTCACCCTGCAATTGATGGACACTCTAATTTCCTTTTGGTCAAGAGAATGTTCTTCTACAGAGCATTTTCTGTGCCCTAGATTTGGGCAGAGAAAGTTGTTAAAAATAGAAGAAGAAAACTTTCAGGTTTGGGAAATGCAGGATTTGCCACTGAAAGGGGAGCTGAATTTTATAGTAAAAACTCCTCCCGCGTGTGAATGCCTCAGAAGCAGTGATTTTGATATAACCTCCTTCGAATATTCAGTCCACACAGACACTATCATATTTATTTCAGGCCTAAGAGCATGAAAGCACACATATTTATGAGCAGGGAAGCTTGAAAAGGATTCCTTCCAAAACCACGAAGCAAATGTCATCTACGGAACATTCTCTAAGCAGTCAACATGAAAACACTCCCTTTAAAATAAGAACTGGTTGAGACAGAACCAACTGATCACGAAGTAATCCTAGCATGTGTCATTCCCTAAATGAAACAATGACACCATATGCCCTGAAATGGTCTCAAATGTTTGCCTCTCTGGCGGTTGCTATTGGGTGGGTGATTCTCAGAGCCAGCAAAGTGAGCAGCAAGAATACTGGTGTGAGCCCTGTTTCAAAGACAGTTGCATACTATATTTATAGTATCAACAGTTTAATTGGGAAGTTTGGTACTAATGATGTAAACACAGCTGGCACATGTTCAGTTTAAACAGACACGGCTCACTCGCAGACATTAACTCACACTTGTCTGCTCAACACCCGTGGTTAGCCGCATCCCACAACTACGAATCCACGCAAGACATCTCAACAGCTGTATCAAGAACAAGATCCGGCAACTTACAGGCATGCTACTGGGGCAGATACGTACCATTCGTGTTTAGACATTCTCAGATCATATAATATTTCCTTGAAAAACCGTGAACGATCTTCAACAGTTACAGCATAAAACATGAAAGTAAAGGTTAGTTCAAAGAGTGCACACAGAGGCTAAGTAAAGTCACCATCTCAGTTTTCTTAGGGTTGGTTTCATGTCTGGAATGCAGAAATTAGGAGGCACCAGGCCAGGTCCAAAAAAAAAAAAAAAAGGCTTCACAGCTTTTAACAGCATGATGCACAGAACTTGGCAGAACACTAAAGGGGCAGGCATCTCTATTTTATTATAAAGAGGGGACTGTGAAAACTTCTTTTGCATGTTCTGAAAGTCATGTGGTCTATTTTTGGGTGACAATAATGAGTGATTTCGGTAGATCGCGTATCATGCACAGAAGGTTTGTATTTTGATAACAAAAACAAGGCGGTGCCATCAGCAAGGGTATTGGGCAAATCTGAATCCTATACTCCATGAGGAGTTATTTCTGAAAATAGTCCTATGATGGAATGTGTCCTGTCAGTGGTCTGGATCTATTATAACTACCTCTCTCACTCAAAACCTAGATATGTGTAACACTTTTATATGTTAGGCTACAGAATAATTCTGTTCAAGAGCAAGCCATTATAAGCAATTTGCTGGAAATCCACACGTTTCTTTCATGGGATCATCAACATTTCAAACATAAAGGAAGGGCACTCTCATGAATACTCCCTGACATAAGGACAGAGCTCAAGAATGAAGCAGCCTGGATCTGTTCTACCTGGGCCCCAACTGGTGTTTGGTCTCAACTGGCTCCACAGTGGCCATATAGCTTCTTGACCAAAGAATGTTCTATCAAAGAGAGAAAGAGAGAGAGAGAGAGAAAGAGAGAAAGAGAGAGAAAGAAAGAGAGAAAGTAAGAATGACAGAAGGGCAGAAACACAGAAAGACAGACAGAAAGACAGAAAGACAGACAGAAAGACAGACAGAAAGAAAGAAACAAAGAAAGAAAGAAAGAAAGACAGAAAGAAAGAAAGACAGAAAGACAGAAAGAAAAAGAAATGGAGGGAGAAAGGAAGAAAGGAGGAAAGAATGAATAAATGAATGAAAGAAGGAAGTAAGGAGAAAGGAAGGAAGGAGGAAGGAAGGAAATCAAGAAGGAAGAAAAGAAAAAAGAAAAGAAAGAAAATCTGAATAGTTAGAAGACTTAAATGCCAAACACGAGAACAAATTCATCCAAAGGAGGAAGAAATAAAGACTATCAAGTACTGAAGTACTTGGTGGATAAAAGGTAACCAGAATCACGACGAACAGGCCCTGAAGCCACAAATTAAAAACAAAATGTGAGGCTCCTGCAGTGACCATCAGGCCTGCAGAAGTTGAAAACCTCACGGCTGAGTTATTAATGGTCGCCAAAGTTGTTATGAACATGGCCAGGTTTTAGGCAGTTTGAGAAAGGTGCTTCCTTTTTTGTCTTGTTTTGGTTTTGGCTTCAAATCCTCATGGCTGCACTTAACAAAAGAGACAAAGGAGAAAAGCCCAAAAATCTTGGAGAGGGTTTTCTGTGCAGTCACTCCCATTCTAGCCCCTGTCAAAGTGAAAGAACAAAGACAAAATAGAGCAATAAAAAGCGAAAAGAGATCCCATGTCCAGATGACTTGGAAAAGACTTGAGTGGAATCAAAATGTGATATCTTACAGTAACTACGACCTCAAAGAAGAAACCACACTTAATTCTCCCAAGTGGAATGTGGGGAGCCAATCAGAATGTATACAGAAGCCTTTCACTGTGATTCAAGCCACTAAGTGTGTCATATAACCAGAATGGGTTTGCTACCACCAATGTTTGGCTGAGGAAGAGCAGGTTTTAGCACTGAAGTTCCAGTGCTTTAGAACAGTGGTTGTAAACCAAGGAGGCCTCAGCATTATTACAAAGAATCCAGGAATCTGTATGTGCCCGGACATTTAAAAAAAAAAAAAAAAAAAAAAAAAGTCTTGCGTACTTTTCAAAGGAGCACAGATGCTGTCTGTGATGAGCAAAATTAATTTCAATATTACTGAAGGCATGCTGCATTTTCTTAATTGATACTAAGCGTATCTATCATCTTGTCAAGTTGACGATGTCTTGTCAGTTGCTTAAAATGTTTGACTTTTATAAACACTGGCTCTGAAACCAGTAGATTGGGATCATAGTTTGACAACTGGTAGTGTGTTTGATGTTTGGCAAGACTTTGCTCTGCGCCACTTGCCCTGGCCCTGTGAGACCACAGAGGCTCAGAAACCCATGCAGGCAGGATGCTTTCTTTGGGAGTTCCAGCTGTGGATTTTTCCAGTACATCTCTGACTTGGCTGTGTAGTCCTCTGGTGATGTTCAAGATAACAGAAAAGACCAGGGAGAGAAGTGCACCCGCAGGGGTGGGCTGCAGTGAGTGACACTCTAAAAGAGCACCAGGATGGTCATTAAGAGGGTCAGATTCAAAGCCAACATCCCAGTGACACCTGACGAAGGAAGATGGACCACAGAGCAAGACTTTCTAACCTGATGTGGCGAAAGAATCTAATTCCTCTGGCTGCCATCATTCAAACCTAGTCTCACTGCTTTACACACACTTAACCTCCACTTTCACTTTGAATGCTCTGCACTTTTCAAAGTCATCTTTGACCTGAGAGTGCCCGAGGGTATCTCGACTCTGCAAGAGTTAGAGGGCTCAACTCAAGGTTATTACCAAACGAGGGAGATAAAAGTGCAGAAGCTGACCTTTTCCTCTGAAATGTCAGGATTCAAGTCTGGGTATCTGAATATTAGGACGCTTGCTCTGCCTTTGTGTCAGATGCGTACTTGATAAACATCATGCATGTTAAAGAAATAAAAGGCACAAGCAAGCTAACCCCACTGTCGTGGAGTGATAAGTGGGAGTTCCCCTTTATATGGGGGTGTGTGTGTGTGAGGTCCACTCTGCCTGGGATTAGGCATTCAAGTTTGGCCTCTTTATTCCTTCTGTAATATTTGCATCCCTCCACAAACTCGTAGAAGAAGAAACTCCAAGCAGTCAACCTTTCCTCTAAGTCAAATACTAAGGGTGTAGTTCTGTTCATGGAATCCACAGAAACTTCCTATCAATACTGGGATGGATGTCATGAACAGACAGGCTGAGTACATTTGCAAAAACAACAACAACAATAACAACAAACTAAGGTTATCTAAGTCCTGTCAAGAGTTTTATCCTTTGATGGAATTGAGCCCAAAGACATGGCTAACTCATTCCTTTTCAAGGTGGACACTGCAAGATTTCATCCAGAAAGAGGAGAGTCATGCTGTCCCCCGAGGAAACAACCCTATCATTTATTTTCTCTAGGCTGGCGGTCACTTCCACCCTGCTCTGCATTTCAATCACGATGCCTGGGCGAGGCTGTCATCTGTGGGGGTAACATCGCGGTAAGGACCTCAGAGTTCCCATCACTGACTCCAGGAGAATGTGTACGGCAGGTTGCAAGTCAGACTTAGATGTCTTTAGCTTTTTTTTTTGTTTTGCTTTTTAATGAAGCTTTATGCAGAACTAATTATTCTCTAACGCTGCATCTGAAATCCAAATGCGCAGTGCCTGGGAAAGAGTGACGTATATGCAGGAATATGTCATGTTAACTTGGCAAGTACCAGAGAGAGAAGAACCAAAAAGACACAAGAGGTTTATGTTGACTGTGATGCAGGGTCCTGGGCCACTTGATTCAGGATCATCAATGGGCTTCTTTCAATGCTATTTTATCTAGGAGCTCATTTTCTGTTTGACTTGCCCGTTACTAATTAGAAGTAATTTGGCAAAGTGGGAACATGGTGAACATAGACAAAGAAATTTATACTGAAATCATAAAGAGATTCTGGTCAAAACAGAACTACAGACTAGGATCTAAAAGGCCTCTCCCCCCACTACGCCGACATCTCACCCTCAGAACTTACATGAGGAAAGGGCTCTGGGGACCCCAGAGCAGGCACTGCAGAGGAGAAACACGCTACTTACGCCAAACATTTGTCGGAGGTCCGGGTCTCGGAACCGGAAGGGGATGTTGGAGACGTGCAGCCGTTTGGGCTGGGACTTGTTTTCTGAGTTTTCGGAAGGTTGTGTCTGGGGCTGGCCATCCGTTGGTGCTGCGTCATCTGTCTGCTAAAAGGACAAGAGTAAGAGGCTCTGAGTGGACCCGTGTGCTCTTTCCAAACTGCTTTTGCTTCCCCCAAATGCCAGAACAAAGGAACAGGGACAAGGAAAGAACTGCTGGATCGTTCGTTCATTTATTCATTCGTTCATTCACTCATTCACTCACTCACTTGACATTACTGAATATACCCTGAGAGCCTAATGTGGATCTGGGACTCAGTAGTGAGAAAAGCAGACAAAACTCACTGCCCTAGTAGAGCTTGATTCTTACGGGGGAAGGAAAGGCAATGAGCTCATTAATAAAGATAGAGATGGCAGAAGGAGAGCACCAGGGAGGAAAAACAAAGCAAGGGGGTGGGTGGTTGGTGTGGAGGTACTGGGGGAGTCTTAATAGGCAGAGAAAACCTCATCACTGAAGGTAGGAGAGGGTGTAGCCCGTAGTCAAAGGTGTCCAAAATCTTAAGATACTGCCTACCTAAATGCTGTGACTGTGAAGATAAAATATTAGCAAATGTGATGAAAGGCTGTTTGGTATTCTGCAGTCCAAGCAGCCATCTGACTGACTGAATTTATTTTTAAGGCTTTAACTTCTTGCTTCTTGATTGTGCAGGGCTATGCTGTCCATTACAGCTGACCCCGTGTGGCTAGTTACATTTGAATGAATTAAAATTCAATAAAATGTAAAATCCAGTTTTCCTTCACACTAGCCACCTGTCAAGTACTCAATAGCCACAGGGTTTAGTGGCTTCCATGGGACACAGTGCAGGCCTAGAGCATCTCCAGCATGGCAAGACATCCTAAGGATCATGTTGGTGTAGATAAGGTTACATGATTAGCATAACTCATTACTCTGCTTCCCGTTCTTGCCGAAATGAAAGTCTGGACAACATGCTATTACACTGGCACCTACGTACAGGCAGAAACTAGGAGAAAAGTCACGGTAGCATTTAGTATCATGATAGCCACAATGGGTATGGTACTCTTGGTTCTAGAGATGCTTCTAGAAACTTTCTCTGCAATTAGCATCTTTTGCCTCTGGGTGGCAGTTGATGCCATTCACATCAGTCAGTTGCTTCTCCAAAACCATGATGGAAAACCCACGTGGAGCCCATCAAAGTGATAAGCAAGGAACCAGCCTCACATACTTATAAACAGTTTAGAAGCATATAACTGAGACAAAAGAATCAATGCAAGCAGCCAGGTGTAAAATAATAAAGGCACAGAGAAGGAAACAATTTCACACAGTGAAATATATATATATATTATATTTATATTTATATACATGTTTTATATATAGATATAAATATTTTATATATGTCATATATATCAAAATAACATGGGCAGAATTAGTGACTGTCTTGTCAAGATGTGTGTTTCCTGGCAGACTTCATTTCCATTCTCCTTCCTAATATATCCTGAACTGCATTTTGATGCTTTAAAAAAAAAAAAAAAACTTTGATTATATATGGCAGAAGAGGAAGGAGAGAGAGTCTCAAGCAGGCTGCATGCCCAGAGTGGAGCCTGACTCAGGGCTCGATACCACGACTGTGAGATCATGACCTACGTCGAAATCAAGAGTCAGACACTTAACCCACTGAGCCACCCAGGTGCCCCCTGAATTGCATTTTGAAGTTGAGACCTCCCAGTGTCTGGTAGGTTACTCTTCCAAGCTGGTTTGGTATCAAAGGCCCCATTGGATGACTTCTTCAACTTTCAAGTGCTGTCATGTCAACAGCAACAATGCACTTGGTTGTGCTGTTGGACTGAATAGCAGGAAGATGGTGATAATTCTCTTACCTGGAAAATGAATAATAATAATAGCGCACACCTTGTAAAGCTCTGCAGAGACTGACTGCAATAACGTATGCCAGCTTGGCAGACTTCTTGGCATATGATGTATAGTCAGTAAATGGAAAGTAATGAATTTTTTAGAGTTATGCTGATTTTTTTTTAAATGTCAACACAAGGAGTGAAAAAGCCTCTCTAGGTAAAGGAAAGGTTCTCATTTTCTTGTTAAACACATTTTTCCTGAGCAACTAGTATACACTGGATGTGTAAATCAGTCCTCCAAACACAGGGAGTTCTCAGTTCAGAGGAAGAGAAAGAGGGTAGAAAAAGACAGTTGCAAGGCTGGGGTCAGAGGAAATCACAGAGAGATGAGTAACTTTAAATCAGGGATATGCTGCATGTCTGGACATCCCGAGAGGCTTGCCAGTTCTGGAGGTTATGTTGTGAGCGGGAGATGTCTAACAGAAGAGATGAAGGGGGCTGATGCTGTACCCACAGAGGGCAAAGCACATGCAAAGACACAGAGGTGAAATAATGTTCTGGATTCAGGGAGGGGGGGTCCACGTGTGATGACTGGTGGGTGCAGGTACATGTGAAGGATGGACAGAACTTGGGGGGGTACAAGAAGTGGTTTTACAAAAGGTCCTATGCATAGAGCAAGAATATGTATTTCATGATAAAAACTGTGACGAGCCACTTATGATCATCACGGGGCAGGATGGGACCAGCACAGGAAGCCAGAGCTGAGCAATGGCTGACAAATGATACATGCAGGGTGAATGGCTGGCTGAGTCACTGACTGAACAGGTGAAGGGATTACAAGTGTATCAATAAGGTAATGAATGAAGGAGCTAACGGTCCACTTGGCATCTTCAAGTGATAGTTGAAAAGCAATATTGTAACAGCGAGGCTCAAACAGAGCAGAAACTGTGTTTTCTCTGCTGGTAACTGGAGGTTTCGTTAACACAACCAAGCCAGCAACATGTCCTTGAACCACATGGTTGGGGTCTTAGTACTCTGACCTAAGATGTTAAGTCAGCACATGCAGCTGCTGAGACCCTGAACTTGCAGGCCTAGTTCCTCCTTTCCTCTGGTAAGAAGTTGCAGTTCAAATGCAAATTAAAACAAATTCCTTCTCATCCCAAGAAAGAAACTTAGATTTGGATTTGTACAGAACGGCTGGATGTTTCAGCTTAATAAACCTAATTAGGAATTACAGAGATTATGATTAAACATATTAAATGATTAATAGCATTATGCCGCTCATGTGAAAATTAAAATTAATCATCTTTAGTCAAACAGGACTTTGGAGAAATCTTTGCGTTGTTCCCTTTGATAAAAAACATACAACGCTCAATTAATCATTTTGTAGCGTGGGCATGTGTACGAATGCTCATAAATTGTTATGTCGGGATACCTGTGTATTAAAGGTAATTTTTAAAGATAACATGTAAAATGGAAAACAAACCAACAGTGTTCCAGACATTGTGAGTGAATGGAGAGGAGAGGGAAGAGGAGAACATCAGGATCCAGAGGCTGAGAAAGAAAAATGGATCTGTGAGCTCGAGCACACCTGTTTACGCACTGGGATGTAACTAACACAGTGGGGACCAAAGGAGACAGGGGCCACACAAAATAGCTACTCCGGAGCCTGGGGCATGGTGGCAGTGAGGCCTTCCAGAGTGTTCCTCACTGACTTTCACAGTGAGCATGTCAGGATGAGGGCCTTCCTCTTCCTTTTTCCTGCGAACTTTCAGGGAAAGCTTATTCACGACAAGCCTAAGTTTTAGGTTGCTGTAGTCTCCTAAGAAATTACCACAAACTTGGTAGCTGAAAGCAACAGTAATGTACAACTTCGAGTTGTGGGGGCCAGACATCCACAGTGAAGGCGCTGTCAGGATCACACTCCAGAGGAGGCTTTGTGGGAGAGCCCATCTCCACCTCTTCCAGCTTCTGGTGGCCTCTTGGCTTAGAGTTGCCTTCCCCCAATCTCTGTCTCCATGTTTACGTGGCCTTCTTCCCTCTGTGTTTATGGGACTCACATCTCCGTCTGCCTTTTTCTTCTTTATAAGGACATTAGTCACTGGATTTAAAGCTCACCCTAGATCTTGGCTTGTGATCTTTAACTTAATTATACCTGCAAGAACCCTTTGTCCAAATAAGGTCACATTCATGGGTATACAAAGGTCAGGACATGGACATATTTTTTCAAGGCCACATGCAACCCACTATGAACCCTTATAAACAAGAAAACAACCTGGAAGTGCATGTAGAACGGGTAGCTGTAATCAAGAAGTCGATTCATTTTCTAACACTTTAGGTGGCATGAGGCTCTCCAAAGGGTGGCCTCACACCAGGTCTAGAAGAAGAGAGAATGTCTCTGTCTGAGCTGTCCCAGGCTCTCATCTGTCATACTGGGAACTTTAATCAGTTCCCTAAACAGAGGAGACTGAAGTCTTCTCTTTGCCAGCCCGGGCTCTCCAGCTGCTGTTCTGCACCTACCGCTGGATGTAGTGAAACCCTTCAGCTGGGCTGAGATGCACTCCACCAGCCCTCTGAGAGGCACCTGATACTCTGAAAACAAGGAAAGGTCTGCTGGTTCCCTGAGCCTACCACTGTACCTCACACAGATGGCTAATGTGGTCACAGCATCCCTGAGAAGGTCGGTGAAGCTTATGGCGAATGCCCAGAGTGAAACGTCTAAGGACAAAAATAAAATACTGTGGAAATTCTAACAAGATTGCCCAGGGAACTGCACATTTGGATTGTGTATTCCCAAAAGTCAGGGGCTCCCTGCTAGGTAGCTACATCACCCGAGGCTGGTGCCTGGCAAGGCTTCCTTGGAACTAATTGCTTGAAGAAGAACTCTTGATTTATCCCTGTCTGATTTTTTTTAAGTATCATTTTGGCTCTAAAGTGGGACACAGCTGAACTGGAAAGATACCTCATAACCATGTTTGGGAGATCAGAAGATAGAACATAAAGACCAAGCAAATTACTGCTGATCTGCTCATTCAGAGATGAGAGGAAATTGAGAAATCATAGGATGTTAGTGGTGGAAGTAGAATGGCCAGGGGACTTTCCCTCTCTGAACCCTGTGGTCCAGACTCTCATCCGGGGCTGTGAGGTTCATTATGCTCTGGCCCTGATACCCTTGCTTTTTGAGGCTCCCCCAGTCCTCACTCACTGGCTACCTTGTACCTCCTTCCACATACTCAGCA